CATATATATATATATATATATATATATATATATATATATATATATATATGAATCAATTTATGTAATAGAGCAAATCTACTAAAGTCCCCAACATTAATTACTTTGACAAAAATGGGGGAAAAAAATACCGAAAAGAGGTTGGAGTTTTGAAGAAAAGTGGAAGGCACAAAACTATAGAGCAACAAGCCAACCTTTTAAATAGCATTTTTAAAGAAATTTGCACAGACTTGGAGAGGGTCAAAAAGAGAAGAAAGAATAAGAGCAAAATAAGAGAAGCTTAGAAATTGTTTGGGGAAAATTGAAGAAGAAAGTCGAAGCAAGTTTCCACTCTAGAAATCCAATCAAGGACGAGTTCTAAGAAATATCTTTAATCTTATGTTTAATTTCTTCAATTTTGAAACGTATCTCTTTATCTGGTACATTTCTTGTTAATTTTTCCAATAGGATGCGATGATTGATGTTGTTTAACCTTAACGTAATTAACTTTTTTCCCCATTCATGTTGTGATTGTTATTTATTTAATGTATTTCATTTGCTTGATAACCAAATATTTTTGTAGCGAAGTATTTGATCCTCGAGAAATTATTATCTATTAATTTTAGATTCAGTTACAAGCACCTCAAGTTTTTGTAGAAAATAGAAATATACTTCTAATTCTAGATGATTCATTCAGCTATTCTCACAAAAGTGATTGCAATTGCACATGTTATTAATTGATATTGAGATATAGTGTATTAATACACTAAATTTGACACGTGAGAGATAATTAGCTAAATGAGGAGAATTGAGGCTATCATTAAAAAGTGAGTAATAAGTTAAATTGCTTTTGCGAAATTGATTAATTGATGGTTAAGTGAGATCATGATCCTAACAAATTTTCAATTAGAGCACTCCAAAAAATATACGTTTTCTTGTTTTCATTGTTTTTAAATCATTTAAGCACAAGTACACTTAAGAACTACAATTTTGGATTACCGACGTACCAAATTGTTAACTTATATAATTATTAAAAATAATTTTAAATTTAAGAATATAGTAACTGTGTTCTTACGTTAGTAAATAAAATAGAAAATAACCTTCTATAATTCATAACCAAGATTAAAAAAAGAAAAAAGAAAAAAAGAAAAAACTATATTAATAAGTCATTAACTTAGTAATACACAATTAAGTGGTACGTATAAGTAATAAATTTATTTAATTATTAAAAATTATTTTCTTACCAACAAATATAAACTTTCATAGTTGCAAATATACAACGAAAAGTGAGAAAAATAGGTTAATTCTTAACAAAGCTCTAGACAATAAATGTCATCTCCCAAAAAGTACACAATACCGAAATATATTTAGGCGCTAGGGGAGGGTGGCACATTTACTGAGAAAATTCTTCAACTTTTTAATTAATTATTGAGATAATTAATTAAGCAATTTTTATTTATATAATGTCGAAGTTGTATGCATTATCAATGTATGCTTGCCTGATATGAAGTTATAACCTCCCATCAGTTCTGCGCTATCTATATTTTGCAAAGGTTTTTTTTTTTTCACACATTAATCAACCATGGATTCATAAAAATTCGGTAGCTAATTTATTTTTTGAAAAAAAAAAAAAATTTGTTAATAATTTTTAATGAAATTCTTGAATTTCTTTTCTTTAATTCTAATTATCATCATGCTTGTACTAGTTAATTAAGGTTTATCACATAGCATGCATGTATATCCATTTCAATTCAAATTTATCCGTTTAGAGTTCTATTTTCTTTTAAATACTCAAGAAACCTTAAAACAAATTCCAAACGTTTGACTTGGTTTAAACTTGTAACTCGGAGAAAACATCATTCAACAACATTATTCGTTAAGGTTTTCTTGGAGTCCTAAGATGGAGAGTCACCCTAGACAAACTATAACTGGTGCTCTTACATACCCTGTAGATGATAGCATTCCCTCAACTTCGTATTTTTACAATGATTATTTCTCAAGGCTTACTGATGATAAATACTTTGGCGGTTTGCCTCCGGGTTTTAGATTTGTTCCTCGTGATGACGAACTTATCGATGACTACTTGATCAAAAAGATCAGGAATGAGCAGCTGCCTCGGAATGAGATTGGCGTCCTTAATCTCTACGAGTTCAACCCGGAACAACTTGCCAGTAAGAAGAACTGTTTAGTTAGTTTCTATACATTTGTTTAGTTATTTGTTTCTTTTGTAGGATTAAACTTATTAAATCAATCATTTTTATATTATTTGCTAATCAAGTGAAGATGGGTAGGGTTTTAGAATGGATTGATAATTTTTTGTTCGTGCTATTTGGTTACAGAAGATTACAAGCCAGCTGGACCGAATGAATGGTACTTCTTTACCCCAAGGAATAGAAAGTATAAAAATGGGCAACGGCCAGATCGAGCTGCAGGTAAAGGATACTGGAAAGCTACCGGGGCTGACAAACAAATCAAACGCAACGGTGAAACTATTGGATATCAGAAGGCTTTGGTATTCTACGATGAAAAACCAAAGGGTGTGAAGACTTCCTGGATTATGCACGAATATCGAGTGAATAATCTTCCACCCCGCCAACGAAATGGCCCAGATGACATGAAGGTACAACTATTTTTCATTTGAATTTAAATTATATAGATGTACATTCCTAGATAACATTGTTGTTGATATTGTGTGAGTTGTCAAAATTTGTGTCATTAATTATCTAAAGTGTTATTTAAATCAGCATATAAAAAAATGTCTACTCACAAGAATGTTATCCATTATGTCAAAATTAGTGTACATGTAGCAAGATTGTTTTTATTCACGCATTAATCTTGAAGACTTTTAAAGAGTTCTTGAATTTTATTTATTTGCAACGTCATTAAATGGAGTGTTTTGTTGTAGTTGGACGATTGGGTTTTGTGTAAGGTCTACAACAAAAAGGGCAAATCGAACTACAACACTGGAAAACGACAAAGGACCAACCAAAATCAGGTTCAAGAACTACATAACGAAAATGATCAAGCTGCAGCAGGGCAGGAAAAGAATGATCATAAACTGGAAGTTCATCCTGTTCCTCCACAGAGTTTTCCAAATTATCAGAATCCCGATAGCGTGGTTTACCCAGATGTTTATGATGTTCCTCCATATCAGAATGCAGAGATATACAGTAATCTAGCTCCCATTACCATGGTGTCACCAATAAATTCTACTCATGATCTAGTGTCAATGGAACAATATCACGAGTCATCAGGAATTCCAACGATGGACAGGAACGAATATTTGGATTTGGAATCTTTGCTGCATGAGGAGAATAAGCCCTATGATTACTCTCTATTATTCCAGCCCCCCAGCCCCTTTATATCTTTCTAGTTTATTTTAGATATTGAATCTGCGTTAGACCTTGTCTTTTTTAGTAGTTTTATTTGCAGTTTTTAATTTTCATTTTATGCATTTTTATTATCCGAATTTTGAGATTATTTATGAACATTCTATTTATCATGATTTTTATTTTGTTTTTCATGCTTTTAGTAATCGATTTTTTATTTTTTTGATTTAGTCCAGATCTTTCATTTGCTTGTCTTGTGGTTAATATAATATTTGATATGAAAGTCTGTTAAGTCATTAGCTTATTTATTATTATTCAGCTTGATAAATACATATACCGCATGCACTTTATGTGGCTTCAAGATATCTCGTTTGGAATGTCATCCGAAATGCAAACCTAACAAAATTTGGGGGAATAAATCCACAAAACATTCTCTGGGGTGACAAAACTGAGATAATGTTTGGTTCATTATCTGAGATAATGTTTTGCAAAATGCAGTTAAGTATCAAATTTTGAAAACTGTCTTATAATCAAGTTTTCCCTCATCCAGCTGTCTATAATTTTCGTTTTCTTGTCTCGTAGAAAATCTAGTGACCCTTGAGAAGACGTACCTTTCTTCTTAGTGGAAGTTTAGTTTGATTTCAGTGAGAATTGGTTAGAATTCCAAGACATAGGCAAGGGTTGGTTTTAGCGTCGGGTTGTAGGGGTGGCCATAATATTTCTTGACAAAATCAGTTTTTTGGCGAACATATTATGGAATGGCCGAGGAAGGTCGTGGAGACATGGTGGTGGATTATATTAACAGTCAAAGATTCCATCTTAAAAACTCGACATTGTTAAGAAGAATAACACAAACCCCCATATATTAGTCTAGGTTTTGATATTTAATCGCTGTGGAATATATCTCTTAGCATTTCCTTGTAACATGTTTGCTTAATAGGGCATATCAATTTGTGATTCGTGTATTCATTTGAATTTTAATCGGATCGAATTATTCGATGAAATTTAATGAACAATGGTATCATATTAAGATTTTTCGTTTCATTTTAAAGGGTTGACATTGTTAAGAGAGAAGTACGACAATGTCTTTTATGTTAGTTGTTTATTTTAGTCTTTCAATACTGGATTTATCCCTTAACAAATTAGATGAGTCGTGGTGGAGAAGGAGATGGTGGTGGATCGGAAGTTGGGTGGGGATGGTGGGGTTTGGGAGGTTGCAAAAAGATTTTTCCCATTTTTATTTTCTATTCTTTTGCATATAAATATATTTTCTTATTTTATGAGTTTAAGGGAAATTATGTCATTTTAATGCCCTCTTACAGAATTTTTGAGCAAATTTTGTTAGCGAGGAATGAAAAGTTGAAGCTAAGATTCTTATAAGAAAGGATGAGGGAAAAATTGTAAAAAGGGGTGAAAGGTTAGGGACTAAATGTATAATCTAGCCTTTTAATTTTTAATTTTAATGCGTAGTGGATGGACGAATTTACCTTTCTAAAGGACCCTTGTTAGAAATTAAACTCAAATGTTTTTTTTTTTTTTTTTTTTAACTGCGTCAGATGTTGATTTAGTCTTGCAAATTACTAGGAATTTGGTTTTTTCTTTGTTATGCCAATAAATTAGGGCTTTAGTTGATCAATTAGCTGCATTTTTTTAGGGATTTTTTTATTCAGTTTGTTGAGTTTGTAAATGGCTATAAATAGCCGATGAGTCCACTCTTTTGTTCATCAATAAGAAATTTATTCTTCTCTCATTTATTTTTCCTACTGTAATTTTTACTTCCAAGATAATGTGTTTGGAAATTATTCTGAATTTGATTTCCTGCATCTGGTATTAGAACCTAAAATATCCAGAGTTTCTTTTGTTGTTCTAAATTACTTGTAAGCAGAGGTCAATCCAACCTCAATTTTCGAGGCTTAGTGGGAACTTTTTGGTCGATGGTGCATCCAGATGAAGGCTTTGTTTGGCTTTTAGGAGTTGTCTGAGATTACTGAATCTTGATTTATTGAACCAAATGATCAAGTTGTTGTAGCAGTTCTTACTCAAGTCAGAAGGACAGTCTAATGGAGAAAGAAGAAGGATAAGAAGGCTTTATTTCTCCTTTACCAATCTATAAATCATGAGGTTGTCTTTGAAAAGATCTCAATTGTAACTATAGCTAAAGAGACATAGACGTCGCAAAATTCTAAGGTTACCTAACTTGAGAGGTGAATTCAAATCTCTTTCAATGAAAAAAATGTAAATCTGAAACTCTGATTATATTTTTCAAGTTCAGCTTGTAGTTAATCAATTGTTGATTGGGTAATTCCTAATGTACATAAAAAAATGTACATCAAGATGTCCACCTCCTCTCATATCTTATTCGAAGTAGGCCCCCTCCATGTGAGGGGGGTTGACACCTTGATGTACACCCCGAATTATATCAAGCATAACCCTTGTTGATTAATGGTGAAAAATTAAATGAATAGGAGTTGTTGAAAAGATTCCAAGGTCCTTAACGCATCGTTTTGATTATTTTGTTGCTACAATTGAAGAAGGAAGGGGCTTTTTAGCCATGCCTATTGAAGTGCTATAGATTTCATTGTGTTCTCATGAATATAGAATGAATAATCGAGAAATAAATATTGGGGAACAAGCTTTTCAAAGCAGACGAAAAATATGGAACTAGAAAAAAAAATGTTTTATTAATTTCACTTCTTGTGATTTGAATGTGAGCACTATGCAATACAAGAATGTCTTATTTAAAGGAAAAATAATGCAGACAGATTACATAAATTCTGCAGACCTATTAACATAAATTTTGCTCTTCCTATCTTTGTTTTATCTTCTTCTTTAAAAATCTTTAACATATATGGTTGGATAACTGGATATGATGCTGGTTCGGTGCATTCCTCCAAAGAAGGAATAGGATTGGAGCAGATTATTTTGGAATGATTTGCTAATTTGCTGGTTGGACTGATTTGTTGCTATATCACCTAGATTCTCTCCACTAATTACAGAAATATTGTGAAGATATGCAACCTTGTCACACTGAGATTTTGGGGTTTCCTTATTACTCCTTTGATCTTCACAATAATTTTTGCTGTTAAGCAGCGATGAGCTAATAAAAGCAAGGTTAATTTGACTAGCTCAAGCAATTCAAATGGTAGTCCCAATAGTGAAAAAAGGTTTAAATGTTACCATATTCTCCAAGAAAAAGATTGGCCAGCACACTTCTGAAAATCAAACATACGTTGAAAAGTCCAAGTTCAATGCTTCGTTTTGAAGATAAACAAAGCCAACGTATCAATTATGAGAAGTGATATATAAAATCGTGATACAACGAAATTGTGGTTCTTATGAGCATATTTCTAATGTATTTTATGTTCTTAGTTTGCATTGAAATTTATTGAGTCTGTGACAACTATCTAAAAGGGGACTTAAAATCCCAATTGACAAAGGAGTTTGTACTATTATGAATTCAAAATTGACACTTGAAAACTACAATTTGGATTACAACTATACCTAATTATTAACTTATATATTTTTTGAAAAAGTTTTTAAATTTAAGAATTTACTAAATTTATTCTTATATTAAGTAAACAAAATAGAAAATAACCTCGTGTAATTCTTATCCGAGAATAAACTATATTAATAATTTATTAACTTAGTAATACACAATTAAGTGGTACATATAAGTAATAAATTTATTTATTTAATGAAAATTTATATTTCTGGTTACAATTTTTTTAATATTGTTTTGCGCGGGTTAAGTCACTAACAATTAAAAAGGATAAGACGATTGTGTAAGGGACGAAACCTCTTGAGACAAAGTCTCAAAAAGGGGTGTTCTTTTATTGGCGATGAACTTTACAATTGGAAATGAAAAACAACGTGCCTCCAAGGGGCGCAAGCACACGAGTTACAGAAAGAAAAGTGTTTAAGTCTAAAAGCTAAGGAAATGAAAATTACATATTCTCAGTTCGAGAGTTTGGATTCGGTCATTTGCTTCTACGTCCTTTCTCCCTTTTATACTTCATAGACGATCTCTTTGTGATTAACTACTCTAAAAACTGTTTGATCGTCCTATAACTACCCACTTTCTTCGTAGTGGCCATTTTTTCATGAAACTGCCTTTTAACTGCTGCCATTACCTTTTATCGTTCAACCGCTTTCGATTGAATTTCTCGAGTCGTGGAACGTGATATGGCTGCTTTAACAACTGCCTTGATAACTGCATTTCTTGATAACTACGACGCGTTATGTCTGTTGATACCTTGGGCGACCTGAAGGTTTGGACGAGAATAGAATAACAGCTCTGGGCGACCGTATGACATTCTATTCGTTCAGATTCTGGGCGACTTGCAAACTTGGGCGATGGCGTTACCGCATTCTTGGGCCCTCTTATTTGGGCCTTCACCTTGATTCATTCGATTGGACTTCGTTCTTTGGGCTCTCTGATTTGGGGATCCTCCAATTGGGCTTTACTCCTTGGACTGTTCGATTTGGGCTGAATTTTTATGTGTCAACAAATATATTTTACAATGTTTTTTTTATATATATATATATATATATACATTAATCATCTACGGATTTCCCCATAAAAATTCGGTTGCTGAGTTAATTTTGAAAAAGAAATTAAAAAAATCATTGTGATATTCAATGAAATTTTTGAATTTCTTTTCTTTAATTGTAATTATCGTCACGCTTGTATTGGTTAATTAAGCTTTATCACATAGCATATATGTATATCCTTATTCAATTCAAATTTTATCTGTTTAGAGTTCTCGTTTCCTTTAAATACTTTAGAAACCTTAAAAATTAAAATTGTAACTCAGAGAAAACATCATTCAACAACATTCTTCATTAGGGTTTTCTAAGAGTCCTATGATGGAGAGTAACCCTAGACAAACTGTAACTGCTGCTCTTACATACCCTATAGATGATCGCATTCCCTCAACTTCGTATACTTACGATGATTATTTCTCGAGGCCTACTGATGATGAATACTTTGGCAGTTTGCCTCCAGGTATTCGATTTGTGCCTCGTGATGACGAACTTATTGATGACTACTTGATCAAAAAGATCAGGAATGAGGCGCTGCCTCGGAACAAGATTAACGTCCTTAATCTTTACGAGTTCAACCCGGAACAACTTGCTAGTAAGATGAATTGTTTAGTTAGTTTCTGTACATTAATTTGTTTAGTTATTTGTTTCTTTTGTAGGACGAAACTTATTAAATCAATCATTTTTGTTCGTGCTATTTGGTTGCAGAAGATTACGAGCCAGCTGGACCGAATGAATGGTACTTCTTTACCCCAAGAAATAGAAAGTATAAAAATGGGCAACGGCCAGATCGAGCTGCAGGTGAAGGATACTGGAAAGCTACCGGGGCTGACAAACAAATTAAACGCAATGGTGAAATTATCGGATATCAGAAGGCTTTGGTATTCTACGATGAAAAACCAAAGGGTCTGAAGACTTCCTGGATTATGCACGAATATCGAGTGAATAACCTTCCACCCCGCCAACGAAAGGGTGCAGATGACATGAAGGTACACCTATTTTTTATTTGCGCGTTAATCTTGAGAGGTTTTGCAGAGTTCTTGAATTTTATCTATCTACAACGTCGTCCAATGGAGTGTTTTTTTTTGTAGTTGGACGATTGGGTTTTGTGTAAGGTCTACAACAACGAGGGAAAATGGAATAACGCTAGAAAACGACAACGGGCCAACAAAAATCAGGTTCAAGAACCAAATAACGGCAATGATCAAGCTGCAGCAGGGCAGGAAAAGAATGATCATTCACTAGAAGTTCATCCTTTTCCTCCACACAGTTTTCCAAATTATCGGAATCCCTATAACGTGGTTTACTCAGATGTTTATGATGTTCCTCCATATCAGAATGCAGAGATATACAGTAATCTAGCTCCCATTACCATGTTGCCACCAATAAATTCGACTCACGATCTAGTGTCAATGGAGCAATATCACGAGTCATCAGGAATTCCAACGATGGATAGGAACGAATATTTGGATATGGAATCTTTGCTGCATGTGGAGAATAAGCCCTATGATTACTCTCTATTATTCCATCCCCGACCCCTATAATTTTTGCTAGTTTATTTTAGATATTGAATCTGCATTAGACCTTATCTTTTTTGTAGTTTTAGATTCAGTTTTTTTATTTTCATTTGATTCATTTTTATTATCTGAGAATATGGAGATTATTTATTGAACATTCTATTAACCATTAATACAGCTAATTTGTATCCTAAGCTATGGTTTTGAATTAAAAAATGTAAATTAAGCATTTTGAGCTAATGAGATCTTGAATCTTGAATATTAGATTGACATTTTATATAAATGCATGCTATTTAAATGGATACTGATTCTTTATATTTTTGGGTTTTCTCTTTTACCTATTAGCAACTATATTGGTATCTTTTGTGAGGCAAGTTCATGTATAAGAACAATTTAGTATTGAATTAATGCCTTGTGATTTAGTAAATAATTTTTGAAGGAAAAATGAATTCATATTTGTATAGGCATTTTTTCAACTTTAAACCCTATTATATGAACTTTATAATTTTTTGTATTTGGGATTGGTGGTGGAGAAGTAGAGACGTGTTGGTAAATTATATTAAAATTTGAAATTTCATCTTAAAATGTCAATTTTGTTAAAAAGAATAGAACAATTCCTTATACATTGGTCTAAATTTTGGTATATAATCGATTTAGAATTTATCCTTTAACATGTCATCGCAAGATGGTGGTTCATTTGAATAAACCACTCTTGGCTTTGTGTCCTTGTTTGAATTTTAGTTAGATTGAATTATTCGTTAGAGTTTGATGAACTATGTTACTATATTAATGAATAATGTTCTATTTTAAAATTTAAAATGTCAACGTTGTTAAAATGAGTAACACATATTATTTTATACTCTTTCGGTGTTGAATTTATTCTTTAACATATTAGACGGGTTGTGGTTGAGAAGAAATGAGTATCTAATTTTTTAATAAGTCAGAGATGGCGAGTTGGGGAGGGGATGGTGGGTTTTGGGGGTTGCGGAAAGTTTTTTCTCTTTTTTATTTTTCTTATATATAAATATATTTTCTTATTTTTGTGAGTTTAAAGGAAATTACATCATTTTAATGCCATCTAAAAATAATTTTTTAATGAAACTTGTTAGTGAAGATTAAGTCCCTATTTGACAATCATTATTTGGGAAAACCAAGATTTTGAATAGTAATTTATCGAAGAATATGTAATTAAAAAATAGGAAAAATTTTTGAACTCACTTGCAGAATATTTTATTGCGTGAATGTATATTTGAAAATGAGTATGTTGAAAAAAAAAGTTTCAAAATAATGGCTGTCAGAGTTTACATTTTATGATGTACACGAGAATGACATATAGAGCTTGTTTGGGAGTGATTTTTAGAATTGATTTTTTGACCGTTAGGAGAAAAGTGAGGTCCACTTGTAAAAGAAGAAGTCAAATATAACAATTGAAATAGTGAAATAGCGGTCAAAAAATCAATTTTTGGGCTAAAAAAGCACTCCCAAACAGGCTGATAATGCATAAGTTTTGGATGAAAGTAGTCGGATATAATGCACGTGAAATATACCCAAACAGTAAACGACCAATTTGGACGAAAGTGGTCGGATTGGACCCTTCTGCCAATGAAAGGTTAATTTATCGACTTTTTTTTTGGCTAAAATTCAAAGGACATATCCTGAATTCATAGCAAATGCATAGCATACGACAGATTTATTCGTACTTCAATCGTTCTTTAACAAACATGACCGTAGTATTTTGACCATAAACGACTAAAACTTCCTTGTGGAAAATAAATACGACGACAGATCTTTTTATTCGTACAAAGTACTTCAATTCTCGTAACTGAAGTATAAACCTACGCGGAAGGCGTAACAATTTGAACCCATCTTGAGTTACATAGTTCGGCTAAGGAAATTCATCTTATTTGCCCTTCAGCAAAAGGAACTGCTTTGAAGAGTAAAACCTGAACAGATTATAAGCAGACATTGCTGATATCACAGCCATGAATATCGATGCAAAATAGCCACACAATAAAGCGCCAGCAATTTGCGTGCAAAACCTTGTGAATCTATTGCAAAGCTTCATCCACTGTAAACTGCTTTCACCAGTTACTGCAAACATTGATGCTTGAACCGCGGCTGAATTGGCTGCAAATACTATGTAAACTGCTGCCTGTGATAGAAGGGATATTTAAGCAAATTGCAAAAATAAGCTGATTTATTTGAAGTCAAAGTT